AATAAAAATCTCATGAACCGGGGGTTACTTGGGTTCTGAATGAGTTTTTCTACCATTCTTACATGCACCTTCACATCTATAAAGTTCTGTAAAGAAAATATTTTCAACATACAAAACACAATCTTTCTTGTAAAATCCTATCTCCTTACATTCCCTCTTTTTTTTTTTTTTAATTTTGAGAGATTTTTGCTATAGGGCGTATGTGCTCGCCAGACAGAGAGACAGAAAGTGAGAAATCACCCCCCAGGGGGGATGGCCATACTGCAATCCCTTCTCCTCCATTCTCCTCTCGGGATCTTGGGCACACATTCACATGTGCCCAGCGTGAGTTTAAGCCACTGGGTCCGGGACTCGAACTGCGGTCAACTACATGGGAGTCCAGCGACATAGCCATTATGCTAACTGCTGGTCCCCTTACATTCCCTCTTCTAAACTGAGGTGTTGACTCACAGCCCTCCCAAAACACACTGGAATGGTGCCACTATAGCTTATGCAGTAGGTTATGCTCATCTTCTCTCCTAACTATTATAGCAAAGACCTTAGACAGTCTTCCTAATGGCCAGCAGGGAGTCATACACACTGTGTATTTAATACACAAGTCAGCATCCAACAGGAAGACTCCATTTAATTCTAATCTCATTTTCTAGAAGAGGAAACAATGGTTTAGATGAGTATTACTCTCATGGTAAGGAGAACCAGGGCCAGAACTTCTCTTTCAGTTCACTCACCAAGCACACTCTCCCACCTTTGCATAATCATAACATTCCACAGCATCACTAAGCACTCTAGCATTTCTGAATGAAAAAGAGAAACGTAAGTTTGAATTTTCAGAACTTAAAGATTCAAATATATTTCATTTCAGAGTAGTCTCTCCGGAGAACTATGCAAATATTTCAATGATGTTAGTTGATTAAAGGAATTTTATAATTTCTCTTTGAAAGCACCCAGAGGGCTGGTTTTATATCCCAGTTGATACTATTCAGTTTTTCCATTCATCTTATTTTCTGGGCTTAAATGACCTTTAGCCATTTCAAAAATTCATATCCAACTTCAAAGTTTCATGATTTGCTCTCAGTATGATATTCAAAGAGAATGTAAAATTCCAAAAGATGAGCTTGAAGTATTTGAAACAATGATGGCATTGTAAGATTAAGTTCATAACCTCTCAAGGTATCTACTTATATATCCTTTCTCTTCCAAAGAGGAATGAGGGTAGTATCTATGTTACTACTTTGAAAAAATACCCACTCACTTATAGATGTAAATTATTATTTATTTAAGAGAGATTTTTGCTAGAGGGCTTATGTGTTTGCTAGAGAGGCAGAGAGAAAGAGAGAGAGAGACAGAGTGACAGAAAGCAAGAAATCACCTCCCAGAAGGGAAGGCCATGCTGCAATCCCTTCTCCATTCTCCTCTCAGGATTTTGGGCATGCACACACATGTGCCCAGCATGAGTTCTAAGTCACCAGGTCCAGGACTTGAACCAAGGTCGACTAAGTGGGAGTCCAGTGATGTAACCATTACATTATCTGCTGGTCCCGACATATAAATTATTATTATTTTCAAAAATTATCTATTTAACTTTATTTAATCATTCATTTATTTTAATTTTTCCAGAGAGAGACACACATAGGTAGAGAGAGGGAAAGTGAGAAAGCAAGCCACCAGGTCTGAGACTTGAACCATGATTGGTCACGAGGGAGTATCCAGCACCTTAAGCACCATGCCACCTGCTGGTCCCCATGTAAATTACTTTTAAAACGATGTCTCATGCTACAATTGAAAACCCTCTAAAACTGTATTTGGAAAGTGCCCCAAAGAGAAATATGTCAAATTGTATTGAATATATATACATTTATTTGGCAATTTTTGTTGAATAGGTATTTAAATATGCATAGAGAAATGTTTTAAGGGATATGTATCACAACATAAATAACAATACCCATTAAGGGACAGGATTAAAAGAATTTAATCTGCTCACCTGAACTTTCTTACATTCCTTCCACATATATTATTTATACAGTTAAAAATATACAAATCAAGCCAAAAATGCATATATTTTTAAATTCCTAACATCTGTGCATTAAGTATGTTTAATTTAAATCGCACATCTTCTTATTTAAAGGTTCAAAATTTGGCTCAGGAAGAATGGCATAGATGCCCGGAAACAACAGGGGTAAAGTTTAAAAAGAATGTGGAGATTGGGTTTATCCTATCTCCTTGCCCGTCTGTATAAGTTTACAACATCTATACAACTCAAAGAGGAGTTGTTGCCTTTTTTCAGAGAGCCACGACTTTTCAAAATGCTTAAAGCACATTTCAACAGTAATTACACTGTTGAAGACCTGAAAATGGGTCACCCCACACAACTGATTAAAACTCTCTTATGCAATCTTCCTTTGGAGGAAACAAGGACGGCCTGTACAAATATTTCAACTAGATCTACTTCCCCAAGAGAAGATGATACATTTGTAGACATTACCAAGTTCTGAAAACATGCAGAAGGGAAAGGGAAAAATGATGAAGAAGTTAAATTAGCCTAGTCATTCGTTCTAACCAACTGCATATTGCATCATGGATTTAAGCCATGTCATTAATCAACAAATAAGCAATGTCTAAAGTTTGGACATTCTCACTTAGAAAGCCAAGATGAAACAATCATACTACCTGGAAAATTATGTTCAGGTTTGAAAAATAACTACATTTCTCCAAGATATCTAAGTGTATTTCTACAGGTTTACTGTTAAGCTTCAACAAACTATTGTTTCCTTTCTGAACAGGACTAAGTATGGTAACAAAATTAGACTTAGTCTGACAAATTTTTGTCTTTAAATAGGTATTTATGAAACATACTTAATTGATATACTTTAGATAGACATACACACACACACACACACACACACACATGAATGAGATACATATTTAGATAGATCGTAAAGGCTTTAACATCATACCACTCAACTACATAGGGTCTAAAGTGGCTGAACAGAAGGCAACATCTCCTAAAGTTGAGATAAATTCACTGGTGAAGGGGAACCACAACATGACCAAAAAAGTTTTCTAGAAACCAGTGAAACCTACATTTTGCTACTATGGAACAGTGCTGAAAAAGGACTGCGTTAAGGTAGATGTGCTCAGGATTGTCTCGAAGACCCAACACCTCACAGCTCTCATTCCCTTTTATCACCTTTACCTCTAAAACTCGGAGGTCCTTGTAGTAATGAGGACATTTCTGATTCAGTTATCAATAAAGTATCTTTTTTTTTTTCAGAATTATTTTATTTCACTTTATTTATTTATTTATTTTAATTTGACCAGAGAAGGAACAGAGTGAGAGAGAGAGAGAGTAAGAAAGCTCCAGGACTCAAACTGTGGTTGGCCATGTGGGAGTCCAGCGCCCTTAATCACCACGCCACCTGCCGGCCCCTCCAAAGTATCTTATGGATTACTTAGTTTAGAAAATTCACCTAAAGGACCTTGAGGAAATGATCAACTTATTCTTTAAATGAGTGCTAAGAATTCCCCAGCCTGAGAAAAATTACAGATGCTTTGTAGTGTTTTTATAATCTAAAACCCCAAAGCCTGTAGAGTGGCTAGATGCTGGGGGAGAGGTTACTGCTCTTTTATTTATTTATTTATTTTGGACAGGTTTTTGCTATAGGGTGCGTGCGCTTGCCAGAAAGACAGAGAGACCGAGAGAGACAGAAAGCGAGAAATCACCCCCTGGGGGGATGGCCACGCCGCAATCCCTTCTCCTCCATTCTCCTCTTGAGATTTTGGGCGCACATGCACACGTGCCTGGCGTGAGTTTAAGCCACTAGGTCCGGGACTTGAACCGCTGTTGATTACACTGGAGTCCAGCGACAAAGCCATTATGCCTACTGCTGGTCCTCACGTTACTGCTCTTGATTAGGACTTAGTCTGTGCCTGTCCTAACTTCTCTGCACCTCTTACTCTACACAGAAATGTGGGAGTCTATCATCAAAGCACAGAGTTCAGAATGTTCTAACCCACCTCTTTTTTTTTTGGGGGGGGGAGGTTTTTGCTATAGGGCACATGCCCACCTCTTTAAAAAAAACTCTTTTGGGTGGGGGTAGGGTCAGGGGTGGGGGTGATCTAAACTCCAGGAGACTTGGCATTAGCTCTGAAGACAGCCCACAGCTGTAAGAAGATGCCTGAACTCTGGCAATTCTGAACCTGAGGCTCAGTCTACTCAATGAATTCTGATTTTATTTTGCTGTTTTTGGTTAAAATTGGTCAATATTTCATAATACATAAATGTGTATATAGACTAAAGTAAAAACAAAAAATGTTGGCTTAATTAACTAAATTACCATAATTCTACAGTCTCAAAGTATTTCAAGGTATCAACTTCCAATAAGATATACCTCTATAGCATCTGTCACTGAGTACCAATTAAGGCTGAGGAAAAGGAAGATAAGAAAAAAGCAGCTCTTTGTACATGCCCCTGAGGCTTCTCTTCTTTCTTCCACTGTTGAGAGGGTTAAAAAGATTGAGGCAGGGAGAATGGAAAGGGGTCCTGTCATTGCTCGCTACACAGATTTGGACTGAGTGAAAGAGAAGCAGGACATATGGAAGATTTTTAAATGACAGAATTCAAATGGATATACTACATTCATTCCAACAATCTGACAATCTCTGTGAGATTTTAAATATATTGATTATTTTTTCCTGCTAACAGACTGAATGAATAGTGGGTCCTATAGTTGCTGGTTTAATCCATACCAAAAAAAGAGAGACAAAGCTAGAGTAATGGTCATTATAATCACGCAAAAGGTCTATTTAGTTATCTCCTGTCACATATGGAAAGCCCCCTTCTCAAGCCATTGATTAATCAAAGACAAAAAGGAAAATCACAGTTAAATAACCATTCCTGGGATTAATCATTTCCCACAAAATGTACGTTTTGTTTTTGTTTTTGTTTTTTTTCCTTTTAGATTTCAAAACTCTCTGAGGAGAGAAACCAAGTAGTCACATACCTATAGATGGAGATTTGAAAGGGTATTTATCAGGAAGATCCACTCTAACTTTCCATACTCCGCCTTCATATGGTGCTGAAATAAAAGCAAAAATGTTAAACATTAGAACTGTGTCTTTAAATTACAAAATAAATCAGACCACAAATTAAAACCTTAATCTTTTCTGAAAACTTTTCAACTTAATTCCAAAAGTCAGGGTCCTGTTATAACTAGTAGGTATGCTATATTCAGATTAAAATATCATTCTTTAAAAAGATCCAGAGTTAGGAGGCCAGCAGATGGCATGGCAGTTACGTTTTGGACTCCCACAGGGCAAACCACAGTTCAAGTCCCAGACTCAGTGATTTAAAACTCATGCTGGGCATGTGTATGTGTGTGCCCAAGATCCTGGGAAGAGAATGGAGGAGAAGGGACTGTAGCATAGCCATTACCCAGGGAGGGTGATTTCTCATTTTCTCTCTCACTCTCTCTGTCTCTCTCTGGTGAGCACATATGCTAAGGCAAAAATTTATATTTAAAAAAAAATCCAGAGTTAGAAAATAAGCAAAGCTTCAGTCACTTCTCTACATTTACTTGATTCTTTAAAGTATTAAATATTATCCAATTACTGAGTAAGTAACAGTTGTGTCCTTTTCCCTCTTATCTCAACCATGCCCTCAACATCAAACAATATATCCTAGGGGACCAGCAGTTAGCGTAATGGCTATGTCACTGGACTCCCACGTAGTCGACCGTGGTTCGCGTGCCAGACCTGGTAGCTTAAAACTCATGCCGGGCGCATGTGCGTACGTGCCCAAGATCCCGAGAGGAGAATGGAGGAGAAGGGATTGCGGCGCCCCCGTGGGGGGGTAATTTCTCGCTTTCTGTTTCTCTGTCTGTCTGGCAAGCACACGTGCCCTATAGCAAAAAAAACAAACAAACAAACAAACAAAAAAAAAACCTCTTAAAAAAAAAAAATATATATATATATCCTGGGAACCATCTATGTGGCCATTCAACACCCAGAATTCACAACTTATGTCTTAATACTGTCACACAGAGAGATAAAAGAAACAAGTATATACAGTAATTACGATGAGAGAAAGATTTCCCTCATGGCTCTAGAGTTCAATTAAATTTACTTTTCAAAACCTATGCATGCCATCATCTATCCTTGACAATCACACTTTTAAGAAATAGAGTAAAAATTTATAATAGAACACATACCAACACATGTACTTACTTCCTTGTGGTCCATAAAACTTCACTACAAATTCATTGAGTCCTCCCAGGATTGTAACCTCATGCTTACTCTCAATGCTAAGGTGGAAGGTAAAGGAAATTACACAGACTTTATATTACCTTAAAGAATTTTTGATGACATCCCCAAGACATGCCATTTAAAGCATTACCAAAATTTGTTATGATACTGATAAAATATGAAACGTATGTAATTGTTCTGGTAGTTTAGAAAGCAATATATACATACATGAAGAGATTACACGCGAGTTTTGGATTTGGAGAGACCGGTGTGCAAAACCAAATACTGCCATTCATTGTTTTTTGGTTTTCTGCTATAGGGTTCATGAGCCCCCTCCCCCCCATGGGGGGGAAGGAGAGACAGGGAGCAGGAGAGAGTGGGAGAGGGTGGAAGAGAATGGGAGAGGGGAAGAGAGAGAGAGAGAGACAGAGAAGTAAACGAGAAAGCACTCCATGGGGGAATGAAGCACCTCATGGGATGATCACACCACGATCCTTTTTCTACCACTCTCCTCTGGGGATTTGGGGCACGCACACACATGCACCTAGTGTGTTTTTCAAGCTGCTGGGTCCAGGACTCAAACCAGGCAGTTGGCCATGTGGGATCCAGCACCTTAACCATTACACCACTTAGCTGGTCTCATTTATTGGGTTTGTGAGCCTAGACAAAATAATGTCAATTCACTCTGAGTCTTTGTTCACTCTTTGCAAATTGGAAACCATAAATGATAAATTGGTCTCATCTTTCCCAGTCAGCAGCACTCATCACATTTTAATTACTTGTAGTATACAAAAGAGAAAAAAAAAATCCCTAGAAATTTAAAAATAATCTCTTAAACGGAGAGGGGAAAATGTTATTTTTAAAGACTTGAAATTAAATACACGTAGTTGGCTCTTTGAGCCTGTGTCCTGGAAGTCACTGAAGGGTCTGCAAGAGGCCAGGTGTATTTTTGACAAGTCCTTGCTTAAGAGCCTTGAATAGTATCCCCAAGAGGTATTTAAATAAGATAATTCAGTCTAGCTAATTTGATCTCATTCTTCTATAAACGAAAACTAATGAATAACAAGTCCGCTAAAGGGATTCAAACAGTATCTAGGAAAATCCACTTCATTTCTCACTTGGTTGAATGACACATGATGCCTACTTTGTCTGGTATACTAAAGTCTTCCTGACTCTGACACCCTGAAAAATATTCCACAGTTAATGCTAATGTAATAAATAAAGTACTTACTGCATGTTTAAAATGTTTTAAAACTTTAAAAGAGCACCATTGTGTCATGAGGGGGAAAAAAAAGCCAGTTATAATATACAATATTAAGTACCAATACTAAGGCCTGAGAAAACAGACTTTTTGGGGACCAGCAGGTGGTGTGGTGGTTAAGGCACTGGACACTCCCACATGGTCGACACAGTTCGAGTCCTGGACCTGGTGGCTTGCTTTCTCACTTTCCTTCTCTCTCTCTTTCTGGTCAAAATAAATGAACGAATGAATAAATAAATAGAAATCAGACTTTTAACCATCATTTTTAAAAATATTAATTTTATTTATTATTATTATTATTATTATTATTTCCAATCTGATAAAGGGCACATGTGTTCACCAGAGGGAGAGAGAAGGGAGTAGTAAGAAAGCAAGCCGCCAGGTCCAGGATTTGAACCATAGTCGGTCACCTGGGAGTCCAGTGCCTTAACTACCATGCCACCTGCTGCTGCTGGCCCCAAGCATCTTAAAGATAGAAAAGGCTTCCTAAGAATGACACCAGGATCAGAATCCACAAAGGAAAAGATTAGTAGACATAAGCATACACACACTTTAAATTTCTATACTGTAAAAGAAAATCACACACACAAAGGACAAACGAGGGAAAAAAAATTAGAGCATGACAAAAAGAAAGGATAATTTTAAAATAAAAAGATACTACAAAGCCGTAAGGAAAAAATAACACTCCAAAAAGCAAAAAGCCTAAACTGTCAAATGTTAAAAACAGAAATTTGAAACAGATAAAATTAAGGTACAAAAAGTCAACTCATTGTGACCAGCGTCTGTGGTGGAAGCGTACTGGACTCAGGAGCTAGAAGTGCATGCTGACCATGGTCTGAGTCCCTGGCCTGACAGACTTGAAGACATGTCGGGCCATGTACCCGGTGTCCTGTGGGCTTGAGGAAGGGGATTGTTGTGTGACTTAGCCCTGTGGAAGGTTCTTTCCCTCTTTATCTCAAAAAAGTTAGATCCATTTAAAAAAAGTTTAGAAATGAGATTTCTTTTCCATTCAAAGTTAGAAAAGATAGGAGGCCAGCAGGTGGGGTGGTGGTTAAGGTGCTGGACACTCCCACATGGGGGACCACAGTTTTGAGTCCTGGACCTGGTAGCTTGCTTTCTCACTTTTCCTCTCTCTCTCACTGTGTGTTTCTCTCTAGTCAAATTAAAATAAACGAATGAATAAATTTAAAAAAATAATTAAATAATTATTTTTTAAAAATTAAAAGAAATTAGAAAAGGTGAAGGAGCTATATAAAGCCTAGTACTGTGTGAGGAATGAGTTAGTACTTCTGGGACAAATACAGTGCTATACCCCAAAACACAATGCCAAGTGTTTGGTCTGAGTCCTACACCGCCAGCATGAGAACTGCGCCAGGTATGTCTGTCTGCGTGACCAAAATCCCAAAAAGAGGAAGAGATGGAGAAGGGATTGCAGCATGACCATGCCCCATAGGGGGCGCTTTCTCCTCTCCTTGTCTCTCTCTTGGTGAGCATGTGTACACAAACACAAAATGAATTTACTCAAATTTCACTTTTTTTAATTGCCAAAGGACATGTATTCACCAGAAACTAACAGATACACACACACACAGAGCACAAGAACAAGAGGGAAAGTACCTCCCAGGTGTTGTCATGCCGCAATCTGTTTTCCTCCATTTCACCACAGGGATTTGGGCACACACACATGCATGCACATGTGACCAGTGTTTTTTCCAAGCTGCCAAGGATATGATGCAAATCACAGTTGGCCACGTGTGATCCAGCTCCCTTAACCACGGGGTTACAGGGCTGGCCCCTTAAATTTCTTTTTTTTTTTTTTAGAGAGAGATTTTTGCTATAGGGTGCGTGCGCTCGCCGAATAGGTACAGACAGACAGACAGGCAGAAAGCAAGAAATCACCCCCAGGGAAGATGGTCACACTGCAATCCCTTTTCTTCCATTCTCCTCTTGGGATTTTGGGCATGCACACACACACACACACACCCCGGTATGAGTTTTATGCTGCCCGGGTTCAGGACTCAAATCGTGGTCGTCTACCTGGGAGTCCTGCAACGTAACCATTTTGTCATCTGCTGGCCCCTGAATTTCACTTTTAAGAAGCTATTTTTTAAAAAACAGCCAGACAGTGATGTGAAATGGTTTCAATCATTATGAAAAACAATCCTTCACCCAGATGTAATAAAACTGGGTCTCTTTCATTTTGTAAGCTTTGATATTTGTTTGGGATTTAATCCATGTTCACATCTATTTTTACAAAGATTCTCCTTTCCTAAATCATGTTAAAATTAGATTAGAAATCAATACTCCAACCTCCTCTTTCCCAATGATCCCTAGTACAACCCACACACCAGATACAGTGTGTGTCTTTTATTACACATTGTACTGTAAATTACAGAGTTCTTATATAGTCCATTTCAGATGAAAAGCTAAAAGCAAATGGAATGACACTTTAAAACTTCTACTGAGTTGGTAAAATTAGAGGCTGTGCTAAATTTACGCTCTCTTAAATGGTATGGTGGCTAAATCAGATGGAAAAAAATAATTTAGGTTTAGTCAAAAGAAAAACACTGTATTAAAAATAAACTATTCCATCAGCACTGAGTGAATGACTTGCCACAAAAAATATAAAATTACTTGACTGCTGCTACCATGTGTATTTATGGTAGAGGCCACGAGATTTTTCTCCTCTCTGCTCCAAAGTCAAGGGCAAGGAAGACAAGAAGGCAGGGTAAAATGACAAAACCTAACTGCTTCTGAGACATGCTGGTCAGGCTGGCAGACTGTGGGGACTCAATAGAAGGCTCCATTACTTCTCAGTCGCAAAGCTTGAAGATAGAAAATGTTCTTCAGATTCTGTTTTACTAAACATTTGTTAAATAACGAGGTAATACACATTTTACTCACTTCTGCGTTACTCATAAAATGCTAATTTTTACACAGTTAGGATTTATTTATTATGGAATATAACCCTGTTTGTAGAATAATAATTACCATTCCCAGGAACTCAAGTTTACTTCGCTTTTAAAATGCCAGCCACATTTTTGGCTACTCTCTGACCCTGACTTGGGGGGGTCTTCTTTTCCTGTGGTCTCTGGTCTAACCTGTCTCTTCCTTTTCCTTCCTTTTTCTCAACCTCGAGACCGCTACCAAGAGGCACATTTGCATAAAAACCCTTACAGGGAAGACCATCACCCTCGAGGTTGAACTGTTAGATAGGATAGGAAATAAAAAAGCCAAAATCAGTATGGAAGGAATTCCTCCTGATGAGCAAAGACTGATTTTTGCTGGTAAGCAGCTGGAAGATGGGCATACTTTTCTGACTACAACATCTAAAAGGAGTCCATGCTTCATTTCGTGTTGAGGCTTTGTGGTGGTGTTGAGAAAAGAAAGAAGTCATATACCACTCCCAAGAAGAGTAAGTGTAAGAGAAAAAAGAGGTTAGACTGGCTGTCCTGAGATACCATCAGGTGGATGAAAACGGCACGATTAGTCGCCTTTGTCGAGAGTGCCCTCCGGATGAATGGGGAGCAGGGGTTTTCATGGCCGGCTGTTATGATAGATGTTACTGTGGCAAGTGTCTGACTTACTGCTTCAACAAACCAGAAGACAAGTAATTGCATATGAGTTAATAAAAGAAATAAATTATCCTTAAAAAAAAAAAAAAAAGCCAGCCACCCACCACTTCATTTCCCCTGAATGGCATTAGGATTACACAATCTAATATTTAAAGGCAAATGCCAAACTGTCAAGAGATAACTGAAATTCTTGGCAAAATGTGTCTATCAATATTTTAGAAGT